ATGCAAAAATCCTCACTAAGATACTGGCAAACAATGCAGAAAATTATCAAGAAGATTACATACCATGACCAAGTAGGATTCATCCTGGGGATGCAAGGATGGTTCAACTTATGCCAAGTCAATAAATGTAGTACACAATATTAACAGAGCCAAGGACAAAAAACCTACAATTATCTCAATAAATGCAAAAAAAAAAAAATTGACAAAATCCAACATCCAATTGTGATGAAAATCCTACAGAAAATTGGAACAGGTTGTCTTTATCTAAATGTGATAAAAGTCACTTATGACAAATCAACAGCCAACATCATACTAAATGGTCAAAACCAGAAAGTTTTCAGTATAAAATCAGAAACAAGATGTCCACTATCACCATTCTTGCTCCATATAGTTCTGCAATCGTTTGCCAGAGCAATTAGAGAAGAAAGATAAATAAAAGGAATAAGATAGGAAAGGGAGAAGTTAAATTATCATTATTTGTGGATGACATAATACTCTATATAGAAGACCCCAAAAACATCACCAAAAGACAGATTTTTTTTTTTTTGTCTTTTTTCCTTTTTTTATCGGTACCAGGGATCGAACTCACGACTGCCTGCTTGCAAGGCAGGCACTTATACCGCTGAGCTAAATCCCCAGCCCCCCAAAAGACAGATTTAATAACCAAATTCAGTAGCATAGCTGGATACAAAGCCAGCACTCAAAAATCAATAGCACTCCTGTACATAAACAACTTAATGAGAGAGAAATTATGGGAACTACACCTTCCACAATAGCATCCAAAAAGATGAAATACCTCAGATTCAATCCAACAAAAGAAATGAAAGACCTGTACGATGAAAATAACAGTAGTCTGAAAAAAGATACAACTGGACATCAGAAAATGGAAAGATATCTCTCGCTCTTCAGTACAAGGAACCAATATATTAAAAATAGCCAAAACTTCCAAAATAGCTATACAGATTTAACACAGTTTTCATCATAATATCAATAGCATATTTCCCAGAGTTACAGAAAACAATCCTAAAATTCATTTGGAAACAAGAGAAGACCTAGAATAGAATCACGAAAGCAATTCTAGGCAACAAAGGCAAGGCAAGGAGCATCACATCCCTGATTTGAAATAATACTACAAAGCTATTGTGATAAAAACAGCACAGCACAGTACTGGCAAAATAACAGACCCAAAGATCAATGGAACAGATTACAAGATGCAGAAACAGCTCCAGACACACTCAACCCCCTTATCTTTGACAAAGATAAGGAGTCAAACATTTTCACTGGAAGAAAATAGCCTCTTTAGTAACTGTGCTGGAAAAACTGGCTTTCTACATGCCAAAGATTAAAACTAGACCCAAATCTTTCATCATGTACTAAACTAAAATTGAAATGGATCAAAGATCAAAATACTAAAACAAAAACATGAAAGCTGCTGAAGATACAACAGAAGGAACTCTTGAAGATACTGGTGCAGGCAAAGACTGTATGAACAAACTCCTGACTGCACAGTAAACACTAGAAAGCATCAACCTATATATTAGGTTATTATTATTAGGTTATTAGATTATTAAAAAGCTTTTACACAACAAAAGAAACCACCAACAGAGTGAAAGGACAACCCACAGAATGGGAAAGTTTTTTGCCAAGTTGTTTCTAAGAGAGAAGACTAATATCTAGAATATGTAAAGAACTCAGTGCTGGTTGTGGTGGTGCAAGCCTGCAATCCCAGCATTCAGGAGGCTGAGACAGGAGGATCCTTGCAAGTCTGAGGCCAGTCTGGACTACAAAGTGAGCTCAAGGCCAGTCTAAACTGCACAGTGAGAACTTGTCTCAAAAAGACAAAGCAAAGCAAAACACAACAAAACAAAACAAACCCCAGACCTACCCACTTTTTTTTTTTTTTTTTTGTCTTTTTCTTTTTTATTGGTTCCGGGGATCAAACTCATGACTGCCTGCTTGCAAGGCAGGTGCTTATGCCGCTGAGCTAAATCCCCAGGCCCTAGACCTACCAAATTTAAAGGCCCACTCAAAAAATGAGCATATGAGATAAGCAGGCATTTTTCAGATGAAGAAGTAGAAATGGTAAATAAATACATGAAAAAAATGTTCAACCTCATGGTCATTTAGATGCAAATTAAAACAACACTGAGATAGACAAAACAAAACAAAACTTAGGGGCTGGGGATTTAGCTCAGGTGCATAAGCGCCTGCCTTGCAAGCAGGTAGTCATGAGTTCAATCCCCGGTACCGGTAAAAAGGAAAAAGACAAAACAAAAAAAAACAACACTGAGATTCCACCTTACTCCAGAAAGGACTATTATCAAGAAATCAACCAGTAACAAGTGCTGGAGGGGTTGTGACAAAAAAGGAACTCTTCTCCATTGTTGGAGACTGGTGCAAGCACTGTGGAAAATGGTGTGGAGATTCCTCCTAAAATTAGAGGTTCCATTTGATCTACCTATTGTTCCCCTTCTTGGTATGCTCCCAAAAGAAATAAAGGCATCATACTACAGCAATATATGCACTCTTATGTTCACAGCAGCACAGTTTATAATGGCTAAATCTTGGGAAAAAACCCAAATACCCATCAACTGATGAATGGGTAAGGATGTGTGGGCTTTTAAAAAACATATAATGGAGTATGACTGCCATAAAGAAGGGTAAACTGAAGACATTTCTAGTTAGACAGATGCACCTGAAGACCATACTCTTGAGTGAAATATATCAGACACGTGCAAACACTGCCTTTTTTCTCTGGTGTGAGAAACTGAAAGTGTAAATACGGACCAAAATGTAATAGATATTTGGAAATGAGAAGAAAATGTTCAAATAAGAAAGTAAAGGGGGGGGGGAGGGACAGGAAAGAAAAAAGAATAGAAGGAAAAAAATGGGAAGAAAGCTTTTTTAAATAAAGTGGTGGTGGGGGGGGGAAGAGGTTGAAAGGAAGGTAGGGGTTGGGGAGAAAAGAATAATTAAAATATATCATATATAGGTTCAAATTCCCTAAGATGAATGTTATCATTATATATAGCTAAAATGTACAATAAAAAACATTAGAAAAAAGTGACTAATACAAGGAGCTGGCAATCTTTGAGTTCATATCTTTTATATCTGAAATAAATCAGTTTTGCTGGCTAGAAAGCCTTGCCTCATTCACTTGGTTCTTAAATGTATTTATTTTCTCCTGGTATCATACTTCTTCTTGATACCAGAAGGCCGTTCTTTTTTTCTTCTAGATGCCCAAGAGGTTTTCCCCTTTGGGGTCAAGTAGTTCTATTGGAATGATTTGATACTTCATATTTTAGGTTGACATTCTCATTTTTTCTTTTACTTCGCAAGTATTTTCTTGAATTGCAGACTTTTTCTCCTCTTAGTACTGGGGACTGCTCCCAAAACACGCATGTTAGGCAAATAAAAGTTCTATCATAGCCCTTGTATAAAAATTCTGATAGTCTCCCTACTCTGCTGAGGCTGGCCTTGAACTTGTGATCCTCCTGTCTCAGCCTTTTGAACAGCTAGGATTACAGGTGTGCATCACTACAATCTACTTGTTCCAATTCACTTAGTGCTTGTTGTGGCCTTGTGTATGAAGGTGGTACTAAAGAGGGCAAAACATTTTGTCAGTTCAACTGACAAAACTGCCTGCTGTGCTTTCTAATGAACTAGAAAAATGGCTAACCTAATAGCAACGAATATCCCTTAACCCACAGATTGGAGCCTGACATGTAATTCTGACTAATGCAAATCAGGGCTTCTTGGAGACGTGACTGATTCCAGGACTAGGGCAGGAAATGTATGAGGAACTTAGCAGGCAATAAAGAAGTTATGAAGATACTACAGTCATGTCAAAGGGATTTGAAGGCCAACTAGAAGATGCTCCCTGGGCAAAGACACACAATTAAAGCTTCAACAGTATGACAAGATGTAAGGAATTTAACACATATGTTCAAATTCACAAGTTTCTAATGATATTTTTAACTAGGATGACTTGATCATCTTTTGAGGAAGACAGGAACAAATTCATCAACTTGAAAACTGGTCAAAAAGGGAAGAGATCAAGCATTTACTCTGCTTTTCAATATAAAATATGGCTCCAGGTAACCATACCAACTGGAGAGGAGGGCAAGTGCTGTGATATTTTAAAAGCTGTGCCAACCTTCGGGAGGCAGAATCAAGGACTCCAGGTTTGAGGCTAATCTGGGAAACTCAGATCCCATCTCAAAAGAAAACTATAAAGAGCTGGGCAGGTGCTGCGCATCTGCAGTCCCAGCACTCTAGAAGGCTGGAGTAGGATGACTGCAAGTTTGCGCCCATTCTGCACAACTCAGTAACTTAGCAAGACCCTGTGTCCATCCACCAGCAATCAATCAATCAGTCGATCAATCAAAAGAGCTGGGGACATAATACAGTGAGAATGCTTTAGGTTAATTCTCTGTACATGAAGGAAAGAATGTTATGCCAATAGTAAATAAGTTGAGAATTAGAACAACCTTAATTGCAACCCACGATGAATTAGTAGGTCCAGGCACTATGTATCAGCGGTGTTTCCATCATAACAAGAAGGATGATCAAATTTAATGTGCTTCTAAATGGAAGAAAATACCAGGCACATACATTTCCATATAAAATCTACTCTCCAGGATTTGTACTTTGGTGTATTTAGATACAAATGACTAGTTACACATTAATTTATATAATTAGTATAAGTTAAGTACAAAGTAAATAAAGATTATTAAGATGGAAGTGTGGGAGTTATTTTGAAAAAAAAGTATTGCACATGGGATCTTATAATCACACTAAAAATTAGATAGTACTTGTTAAAGTAAATACATTTCTCAACTGTACTTTTTAAGACAGTAGTAAAAGACTTTTTCATCTGAGTCTAGGTCTGTATTTCTTAAAACGCAGTAGTCAGATACTCATAGGATAGTTCTGGATAATCACTTGGTGATTTTGTCCTTTGTAGTCATATAAGGATAATACATAAAGAAGAAACTTGCCGGGCATGGTGGCGCATGACTGTAATCCCAGATACTTGGGAAGCTGAGGCAGGAGGATCACAAATTCGAGGCCAGGCTGAGCAACTTAGCGAGAACCTGTCTCAAAATAAAATAAAAATAGGGCTGGGGATATAGCTTGATGTAGAGCACTTGTGCAAAGTCCTGAGTTCAATCCCCAGTATGGCAAAAACCCCAAACCAAACCAAAACAGAAGTACTAACAAAACAAAACAAAATACCCGAAATTTTAGTAAGAGGAAGTACTAAAATTTGAAACTATTATTGGAATGCTGATGGCCACACTCATCAAACTGGCAAATTATTTATCAGGTTATCTATTTCGAGCAATTTAAGTCACTTAACTCTAATTCCATTTGTCTAAACAACTGGGATACAAATACACGTGTCACAGGTAGTTGAGAGGATTAAATGATACAGCAAGCCTAAAGCAGGGCACATTAAAGGAACACATCTTTCAGGAGCTACCAGAACTTTCGCAAACAATCTGAAGCTGCCAGGCAGACTCAGCAACAACTGAATCAAGAAATTAAGTGTATTCACTGGAAGGCTAACAGAACATACCATCAATTTCAATCAATATCCATGTACAAGCCAGGCCTCGTGGCTCATTACTACAATTCAAGCTACTCAGGAGCTGAAGCAGAAGGACTATATGTTTCAGGCCAGTGTGGGCAACTTAGTGAGATCTCCCAAAATTTACAAAAAGGCTAGAGATACAGAAGAGCAGCAGTGCACCTGTAGGTTCAATCCCCCAAACCAACAAGCAACCAATAAAAACCTTAAAAATCAACAAAGGAGACTAGAATATTCAGTGCCTGCAGCTCACAAAGAGGAAATTTCACCAAGCAACCAATTCAGTAAATTATTTCTTTGAAAGTTAAGCCAAACAGCTGGGCATGGTGGCACATGCTTATAATCCCAGCACTCAGGAAGCTGAGCAGGAGGATCAACTGGATTTTGAGGCTAGCTTGGGCTGCATACTGAGTGCAAGGCCAGACTAAACTACATGCTGAAGCCCTGTCTCAAAAAAAAGAAAAAAGAAAAGAAAAGAAAGTTAAGCAAACAATTTTTCTAGCAGAAGAGTTTTATTAAAAGGTAAAAGGCTATATAAAGAACTACAATCCCAAAACAACAAAATAAGCCAATTTAAAAATGGGCAAAGGCCTTGAATAGTCATTTTTCCAGAGACAGAAATGGAAAAACGAAAGAAAGAAAAAAAAATGATTAATTTGTGCCTGATAAATGCTCTGCATCACTTATAATTGGGAAACTGGAAATCAAAATTATACTGAGAAACTACTTCATATCTCAGAAGGTGCTGGGGGCTAAGTGGATGATGACAGCTCAATGCTAGAGCACTCATGACCACAAAGAGACTGGGGCACAATCCCCAGCACTGCAAAAGAACAACACAAAATTTACTTTCCAACTTAATTAATAATTTTAAATGATAAACTTAACACTGGGTCCATAAAAATTAAAGTGATTGTAAAAATGTTATAAAAGCAAATGCTATCAGGGCTGGGGATTTAGGTCAGTGGCATAAGCGCCTGTCTGGCAAGTGCGTGGTCATGAGTTGGATCCCTGGTACCAATTTAAAAAAAAAAAAAAAGAAAAAGAAAAAAAGCAAATGCTAAGCTGGGCACAGTGGCACATGTTTGTAATCTAAGTTATTCTGGAGGCTGAAGCAGGAGGATCACAAGTTCAAGGGCAATTCAGTGAGACCCTAACAGTTATCTCACACAACAACAATAAAAAATTGTAAGAGGCTGGGAAAGTAGCTTCAGTGTTAAAATACGTGTCAGGCCTGGGGTCAATCCCTAGTACCAGAGTGCTGCGATTAGAGGCATGTGCCACCATGTCTGGTTGAGCTTTGTTTTTAACTGTGAGATAGGGTCTTGTTAAATCATTAGGCTGGGCTTGAATTTGCCTAAGCTTCCCAGAGTGCCAGAATTACAGGAGCATGCAATGCACACACGGGCAATGCTAACTGTACTTAGTGGTGAGGGGAAATGCAAATCGAAGCCACAAAGAAATACCATTTGAAATCTACTAGGATAGTTGCAATTAAAAAGACAAGTTGAAAGAGAGAGAGAGAGAGAGAGAGAGAGAGAGAGAGAGAGAGAGAGAGAAGAGAATGTGTCTCAGGAGTACAGTGCTTGCCCAGTCAGCAAAGATGTGGAGAAACTGGAATCCTGGTGGGATGTAAAATGGGAGAGTAACTTTGGAAAAATCTGGTAACTATTTGAAAGACTAAATGAAAAGTAATCATATGACCCAGTTAGTTCCACACTTAAATGCATGCAAAACTGGTTTACAAATATTGAGAGTAGCATCATTCATAACAGGTAAAAAGCAGAAACACTCAAAATGTCCACCGATGAACGAGAGTAAAATGTGGCACATCCACACAGGAGTAAAATAGAATGAAGTACCAATGCATTCCACAACATAGATGAACACTAAGACTATGCTTTATGAATAAAGCAATGAATATTTCTCTTTATTTGAAATACCCAGGATAGGCAAATCTATAGGACAGAAAGTGGTTGTCCAAATGGGGACAGACAAGGGATTGCAAAGTGACAGCACTGTTTCTTTCTGAAAACGGTGAAATGCTCTAAAACCGACTGCAGTAATGGTCACAAAACTCTGTGAAACACCTAAAGCCATGACTGGATTGTACATTGTCAAAAAGTCACACACTTTAACATGTTCTTCTCATGGGTGACCAGTCTGTCACAGATGGCTTACCACGTGAGTTTAAGAGCACTGAAATGGTCATCTGTGAGTGATATGCTTACACCAACATCAAATGCTGTACAGGTGTAAGAACCTCCATTTATTTCTACACTCACCTCTCCCTGGACTGCTAGTGTTCTGGGCTGGCAATAGTGCACAAATCATGCTTGTGTTAGTGCTCAGGAATTCTCCTTCTGTCCACCCTCACCCCCTCACAATTTTTATTCTCTTTGAGACAGGGTCTCACTACATAGTGAACTCACTGCCTCAGCCCACCCAGTGCTAGGATTCTAGGGGTGCACTACCAGGCCCAGCTCACACTTTCTGACTGTAGAACTTTTTCTCTCTTTCTACAATGGTAGAGACTGAATATAGGGCCTTCAGCCTCGATGGGCTAGGCAATTGTTCTACCACCGAACTGTACCTCAGGCACCTCTTTTCCTTTCTATACAGTTAGGATCTTAGACTTTTAAAAACATTTAATTATGGGTGAGTTGTATTTTTAATTATAATTTATAGGAAATAAATCATAAAATATTTTATATAAAAAGAAGTACTGGGTTTCACAGGGTTCAAAGAGTGGCTCCTAGACCTGTTGGGAATCACTTTCTCCTTTCTCCATGCCACCCACATTGTGTTTTACACATAGGATTTTATTTTGCAGTGCTAACACGATTTCATGAGAGATCAAGGGAAAAAAGAAAAAAAGAATGAAACGATCACACTGCCTAGATTATTAAAGCCTTTCTACTCTTTGTTTTTTTTTTTTGGTCTTTTTCCTTTTTATCGGTACCAGGGATCGAACTCACGACTGCCTGCTTGCAAGGCAGGCGCTTATGCCGCTGAGCTAAATCCCCAGCCCCAGCTTTTCCACTCTTTATCAGAACTTTCTAGCCAGTAGATTGACTGTCGTATCCCCTTCAAAACAGACAAGATGCTCTTATCTTTAAGATTATACATTGCCACTGAAAGAAAAATTTTATAATCACTGTACATCAAGGTTGAGAAACTGTCCTGCATGAAAAATACACTAAGAAACCATGTGAAAAAAAGAAAACATTCTTGTGTTAGGGAAAGATTAAGTCCTCATAATGTGCCATCTAAACATGGATACTCATTCTTCACGGAGTAGCTCACATGTAGGGTTTTCTTGCTTCTGCCCTTTCCACTCACTATACTGTTTTTATACAACAGTATTCATTAAGGCAAACAAATTCTTTTCTAAAGAGCTCTTAAGGAAACTGTCGCTAAATAACAAACCTTTGACATTATAACAGGTTAACACATAAATAGCCTTTAGTAGTATACATTAAGCATAATTTTCTTGGGCTAGTGCCAAGAAAAGGAGACCGTGCTTGCTTAACAGTGTCAAAAAGTTTAAAATTCAGTGTTCAAGCAATTCCTAACAATGCTTCTGTAGCTTTAAGCTCTAAACAGTAAAGAATTTATGCAAATGCATTAAAGAATTTAAGCTTGGCAAATTATTCTCAAGTGGGTTATTAAACTATATATATATAGAAAGTATATGATAAGTACAGAATTAAAAGAATCTTTCTGCTTTTCTTTATAGACCTGGAAATTGGCAACTCTTTGAGGACAGTTCTACAATATTAAACATTAGGTAACCACAGATATTGGGAAACCTAACTACATAAACTGATTTAAAATACTCAAGATGATTTTTTCTTTTTCTTTTTTTTTTTTTGTCTTTTTGAGACAGGGTCTTGCTATGCAGTTCAAGCTGGCCTTAGGCTCATTTTGTAGCCCAGGCTGGTCTTGAACCTGCTACAATCTGTTTGCCTCAGCCTCCCAAATGCTGGGATTACAGAAGTACACCACCACACCCAGCTTCAAGATGATTTTGTAGTGTTTAATATACTTCAGTTTGTAGTTAACAACACAGGATAACACTTAACAAAAATAATCGCATCAATTGATGTAGAAATCAAATGCAAATAGATATGAATACACTCTCCAAAATCTGTTTTTTTAAGTGAACTTTAACCACTTGTTCAAAGTTATGCAAGAATTGAAGGATTAAAGTCTTCTGTGACATAAAGCCATTTCACATAGTTTCATGTCTCAGTGGAGTGGGGCAGAGAAGGTGAAATCAGTGAGTAGTTCCACTTGTGCAGTTAGTTGAAAGACACCCCACAGCAGCCTCCTGCAGGTGCTGTCCTCCCTGACTGCCTGCGTATGTTGCATTAGTAGCAGCATGATGGAGACCAATTTTAATCCCATGTGCCTTGTTATTAGTGTCAAAGACTCTTTCTTGAATTAATAAATTTCTTTTGTTGTATTAATAAATGCCTCTTCTACACTAGAAGCAGTCTT